TTTTTTTTTTTTTATAAGAGGGAGTAAACCGAGGGGGTGTAACGCGGGGGGAAGTGGGTGGATGGAAAAAAAATCAGCAACAGATGTGATGTCCAAAGAAAATTTTTTTTTTTTACCCGAGGAGATAAACGACGCGTTTATTAAATTATTTTTTTTTAAAAAAGTTTTTTACGAGGCGCCATCATTAATTTTCATTATTATTATTATTTTTATTATCATACCTCATAATGTCGAAAAATAAGGTTTACTTAAAAATACAAATATTTTTTTCTAAAGGAAATGAATCGTTCGAAAGAAATATGATAAACCGGAAGAAAAATTCTAAAAGTTCTAGAACAATAAAAACGTTTTGTGAAATTCGTTAATCGCATAAGCTAAATATAGAAATTTAAATACAATAACTGAGAAAAAAAAATTTTTTCGTTTTTGTGTGTGTGTGTGCGCGCGTAAATTCAAAATGGAAGCGAAAATCAATGAAATTTTTTTTTTTTTTTTTTCGAATTCCAAATTTAAAATTAGAAAAATTTATTTATTTATTTATTTATTTATTCTTTCCTTTAAGTTTTATTATAAATTAAAAAATTTTTCTTTTTATTTATAAGTAAGTGTTTAAAAATCGAACGGGAAAGATTAAAAAAAAAAAAAATGGTTGTCGGTTGTTGGTTGTTCGTTTTATTAACGTTCGTTTCCTATTTTTATTTTTTATTAAACGGATATTTTGGTTTTTGGCCAAAATTTCTAAATGCTTCGAATCATTTGCATTAAATGTTTTTTTTTTTTTTTTTTCTTATTAAATTTTCTTCGCGAATTGTTTTAGATTTTGTTCGAACGTTGTTTGTTACATAAAAAAAAAAAAAAATTTCAAATTGTTTGTTTTTTTTCTTAAACTTATCGCGTTTGTTTTGTTTTAACGATTTTTTTTAAAATTAATTAATAATTTTAAACAAATTTTTAATTATTTTAATAAATAATTTATTAATTATTATTATTATTATTATTTTTAAATTAAACGTCAAAATGACAGAGTGTATAACTAATAATTTTTTAAAAAAAGTGTCAATAGACAATCGAAATTTAAATTAAAATGAATTTTTTTCTTGTTTGTCTTATTAATATTATTATCGTTATTTTTTTTTAGGTTTTGTTTGGTCATCTTTTCGTCTTTTGTTTGTTCGTTCGATTGTTTGTTTTTTTACTCTTTAAAATTCTGTCTTTTTCCGCTTTGCTGCCGGTGATTTTAAATAAACGACAGCAAATAGGAAGAGGCCGAATACAAAGAGTATATATTCATCGTTTATTCTTTTCGATCGTTCCTCGTTCCTTCGTTTGTTTGTTTGTTTGTTCATGATCTGGTTTATATTTTGGGATATATTTATAGAATTTAAAGATAAAAAAAAACAACAACAACAAAATGGATGAAAGAGATTAAAAGTTTTTTTTTTAAAGAAAGAAAAAAAGTGTTAAAACATGTAAACATGAGTCTAAGAGTAATAAATAATAAAAATGGCGGCCATTAAATAATTTTTTTTGATTTGAAATGGAGCCAATTAAATTTAAAAACTTTTTTTTTTTTGCTGCTGTACGATTTGAAATTTTTTAAAATAAAATATATTTACTACTATTATTATTATTATTGTGTTATTTTTTTCTATTTTCCTTTCATCTCGTTTCCTATTTTTTTTTTTTTAAACAAAAAGATTAATTAATTAATAATTTTAAAGAGTTTTTAAATGTTATTTAATAAGATTAATTATGTAATTATTTTTTGCGAAAACACGCACACAAACGTAAAACAAAAGAATAATAATAATAATAATAATAATCAACACGTAAAAGAAAAAAAATTTTAAACGAGTTAGAAAATTTATTGTCGTGTCAGAAGATAAAAAGTAATTAAAATTTGTTTAACAAAGTGTCCGTCGCAAGGCGATCATCCGGAAAATTAGTTTTTATTAAATTTAATCGTCCGTTAATAAGTAATTTTATTTATTTATTTACCGATTACTTATTAAAAATAATTTAATAATGTATTTAAAAAACTACAGGAAAGACAAAATAGGGGGGAGTGGGAGTGGAAGGGGAGGGGAAGGGGTGGGGAGTACGAAAAAAATATGAATGAACGATTGCAAAAAAAAAAAACAATTTTTCATTTTGAAAAAAAAAAAACGAAAAATTATTTTTCCTTTTTTTTAATAATAATAATAATGATTTTTTTTTTAATTCGGGAGCCAATAATTGTTCCGCATACTTAATACCATCATTTATTTTAATGAGAGAGAGGGAGGGAGATGGCGAAAGGGGGAGTGGGGAGGGACGTGGGAGGAGGGAGAAATGGGAAAAATTATTAAATTTTTTTAAAAAAAAAATTCACATAAATTTTAATTGTTTTTGTCGTGTTTCAATTTTTTTTATTGGTTTTGGCACTTGTCAATATATTATTTGAAAAAAAAAAATTCTAAATACTAAAAAACTAAAAAAACTAAAAAATTTTTAACCGAGCTAAAAATAAAAAAAATGAAAAAAAAAAAATTTTTTTTTTTTAAAATCCAATTATTTTTATTATTATTTTATTACCTTTTTTTTTTTTACTACGAAGAAACTCATTTAAATCGATCGATGTATCGATCATTTAAATTCATTTGAAATCGATGATGCGGAAACGGTTAAAATGTTTAAATAAAACAACAACAACAACAACAACCCGGATGTTTCCATGTTTGGTTTCCTCTTGGTCGAACGTTGATCTTATGACGTCATCGCACAAATTAAATTTTTTAATTCTTTTTTTTTTTTCTTTTTTTTTTTTTCTTTTCTAAAAATCAAAAATAAATTTTTTACAAAAAAAAAAAAAAAGAAAAATTTAAACGAAATGGTTCCCGAATTAAACCGTCGATAAATATTCTACGACGACGCCGATTCCGCCATTTTGAATTTTTTTGTCAAAAACTAAACATTATTTATTTACTTTTTTTTACACATTTTTAACAGAATCCTTTTTTGTTCGATATTAATTTTCATCATCATCATCTTAATCGTTACAATTTTCATTTGATGACGTATAAAAAAAATAATAAAAATCAATAAAATCGTTTATTGAAAACTCACTCTTATTATAAACGACAACGATCGTGGCAATAACGTAATAATAAATAAATTCGTGACGTCATAAGCTAAAAAAAATGGCGGATCGATTCGATTACCATTAATAAGGAATTATTTATTATTAATAATAACAATAATAATAAATACATATTACAATTGTTTATTAATTTTTAATTTAATTTAATTTTTTTTAAAATTTATTTTAATTTCTTTTTACAAATAATAATTCGATAAAATCTACATTAAAAAAAAAATCACTTACATTATTATTATTATTATTATTATTATTATTATTATTATTATTATTATTATTATTATTATTATTATTATTATTATTGTTATTATTATTAATAATATTATTCAAGTCTTTTTATATATAATGTCACTGAAAGTTTTTTTTCTTATTTTTTTTTGTTTTTCTTAATTGACTAAAAGGATTTCTATAAAGAGACTCCATTTTGAATTTTTGATCTCAAAAACGAAGAAGAGTGAACGAATAATAAATTTATTAAAAAAATTCGAACCGAACGATAAAATTTAACGGTTTATTTGTTTAAAAAAAAATTTATATATTTATGTATTTATTTATTTATTTATTTACAAATAATTAATTGTAAAATTCTAATTAATAAAAAAAGAAAAGTAAAAGTTAAATCACGTAACTAAT